CATTTTTTAACCTGTGTTTCGTGTTCGTGTAAAGTGCCCTTGCTTCCGTACGATGTAATATTTCGCGTGAAAAATGTGTGCAATTTTTACACGAAACGACATCTCCTCATATTTTTATTTCCAAATCCGAGGCAAATCGACAGCGGGAAACTCTTCTTCTTTCGGCATCCTTCCGAAATTTTATTTAGGACAGTGATAATATTTATGCGGAGATATAAGTTGGAAGATTTAAACGAGGAAATTAATGCGCATCACAGCTGAAAATTTTACATAATGAATTTATTAAAAAAAAAAAGAAAAAAAGATCGAGACCATAATTTTTGTTTCGAGTTTTATCGACAGATTTAATCCCTCCCGCGCAGACAATGAGACGGATTACACTTTTTTTCTCTCCTCGGTCGCAATTCGATTTTAATTGAATTTTTCCCGCGGGTGTTGGAGATTAATCGGTGGATCATTTGCCGGCTCGCTCTTCGGGTTCGTTCCGCCGGATATCCGCTTGACATTGACACACAGCTATTGCGATAAAAATTTTCGTACGCGCTACATTCGAATCCACCGTGTTGTACGGATTTATGTACGCTGTTTCTACGAGCTATTTTTGTAAATGCACACGCATGTGTGTGCACGCCTGATTACAATCAAATTCGTGGCACGAATCCGCCGATTTTTATCGGGCATCTTAATCACTCCGCGATGTATTATGACAGCGGCTTAGCTCTTGAATGCAGAAATTAATTACAAAATACACTAATTACAAAATACACACACGGTTTGGTCACTCGGAGAATCAACGTGGACGATCTCGCTCGGCAAAGTATCACGGGCAGTCATCGTGTCTTTATAAGTCTTTATAAGAATATCCTTCTGGGGATATCGGAGTGAAGATTTATGCGTTTCCTGCGGTATCCTCTCGCATATGATACCTTATGTACGTATATAATACAAAAGTATGTGTTCGTTATTACGGAAGTGTCCATACATTTTCGCACGCGCATCTGAAGCTCTTCCGCGAGAGTTTAGCTGCTTTCTCAGACAGACGAGACATAATTTACTTTATTCCCAGGTTTGCCGGACGCTCTCGGTATTCCGTCGCGGCTGCGAAGCTTCTTCCCTCGTCCGTCGATCCGTAACCGGTGATCCGTAACCGTTCGAAATGAGATATCGGGGATTCTATATTTCGTAACGACAGTCCCGCCAGCGCGCAGCTCGATTCCTGTTTGTATCATAAATTTACAGATATTCGTTGATAGGAAATGGATCCTTCTCGCCTGTCTAACTGTAAGAGGCTTTTTATACTCGTAAATTGCTTCTCAAGCGGCATAATACGCCTGTCAGTTATCTTCCCGAGAAGAAACTGGAAATCATAAACCATGCAGTATCGATGGAAGTCGCGCGCATTTTTCGATGATTAATAACAGTATCCTCGCCATCGCGACGATAATCTTACATTCACGCGCTTGAGGTCTGCGGAACGATTTCCAAAGTGAGATTAGCGCGCTTAACTGTACTTCGACGTTAAACAGACTCAGGCTTTACTCGTCAAACCGTCTCGTTTTGTAAGCTTGTTATTTTGTATAATCTTGAAACGCGACAGCTACACATAAAATCCTACTTCTTCCTCTTTCACCTTTCTATTTCTGATATCTAAAAGAAGATTTGTAACGCGCGATGCTCTTATCGCTCTTACCGCGAGCCGTGAATTAATAACTTGCAATTCGCATTCGCGACCACTGTGCGCTTTTGGATGGCGTGTCTCTTGTATTTATTATGTATCGCATATGCACGCTATCGGTGCCACGTCGCGAAAAGTTTCCTGTAAGAATTTGTCCGCGTCCACACGGCACAATAGACCAACTTACTCCGTTTGCGGACGGGAAGTACTCCCGGGATTCCGCTTATAGCGAACATCGAAGAATTTCCTTCATCTCCCGGATCTTCGATCTCCTATCCAGCGGAAAGTATTTGAGAACACCGTCTGCATGCAATGTCTGAGATGTATATATGTGTATATATATATATATATATATATATATATATATATACAGGGTGCTAAATTTCAAACGTAACAGGTAAAAAATCTCGAAAACTATGAAAGATATGAAAAAAAAGTTAAAACACGCTTTCCATGATTTCGAAGAGGAAAGAGAATGGCGTTATCAGTTTTTTAGTTGGAGGGCATTTTCAAGGTCAATTGAAAGTCAACTTAATTTTTTAAAATAGAAAGAAAATAGAAAATAGGCAATTTTTTATTATATCTTCTTTTTCTACCAATTAATTTTAACAATTTTTGTCTGAAACCTTTTTTCTATTTGCCTAATATTTTTTGAAATATTTCACGAAAAACTTGGTAACTTTTTCAACATTTAACTTACGATATCTCGCTAACTATTCGTCGAAAGAAAAGATAGTATTAGACTTTTTTGCTTTATTTACTATCAAGAATATATTACTATAATAGTGCCCTAACTTTTCCAAATAAAAAACTGATAACGCAATTCTCTTTCTCCTTCGAAATCGTGGAACACGTGTTTTACCTTTTTCTAATATCTTTCATAGTTTTCGAGATTTTTTACCTGTTACGTTTGAAATTTAGCACCCTGTATATGTATATATATCTGGTAAAAATGTATATATATATATATATATGTGTGGTGCGGATTTATAGTCACACGTCGTTCCGCGCGTAGTGTACTAACTTTATTCTCTTCGATACGTAGTTTCGCTTTAGGTAAAAAAATCGATATCTTCTCACGTTCACTTAGCGATAAAAGGCTTCGTCGTGTTGAGCAAACGTTAATTATTGGATTCCGCAAATGCAAATTCGTGCGTTACCATCGCTCCGTTCCACGATGACGTTTCACGAATTCTCGTCGATCCATCTTGGTGTATTTGATTATTTCTTGATCGATTCGTTCATGTCGGCTATTCATTTTCCGTAATGGGAAAACGACACGACTCCGAGGCGTCTCTAAGTTATTATATCGCGCCAAGTTGTTTGATTAATCGTGGGGAAAGTAAGTTCCCTCGTACGCTCGAGAGAGATGATCTCGGAAATTGTATTCGAAGCTCCGGGCTCGTCAATATATGTCCGGAAGGTCAATATCTCGGGATGAATGCCATTGATCTAGCCATCCAGGCCGCAAAACCCTTCAGGAATTCCGATTAGTTCTACGTTCATCACATGCGCAGAGGGAAATAGGGAGAGGGAGAGAGAGAGAGAGAGAGAGAGAGCGCACGACTCGGGCTGTAATTAACTCCGATTATTAAATTAATTTCCGATACGTATTGGAATGTATCGTAATTATTAAAAGTAAAAAATTAATTATAAAATGTTGCTACCTCATAATATCAAAATTACGACTCTTATTACGAAATTTTATATATATAATTATGAAATTGCGATTAAATGTACAAAGGTGCAAAAATACGCGTTTATTTCCCCGCGCAATTTTCAGCGTCTCTCTTTCAGTGTCTCGTGCGTCTTCATTACAGACTCTCTTTATACGTACTTTTCTCGCCATACGAATAATTCGTTCAAAAATGGACCCCGAGAAATTTACACAGAAGCGTTAAATAAATCTAAAACGCGGACGGCACAAAGTGCAGCACAAAGTTATAGCGTGTGCGCATTTTATTAACGTTCTGTTGGCCCGAGTAACCGCGAATAAAAACGAGAGACACGGCGCGCCAGAATCTCTGGAGAACAGGACAACAGGTGTAATCTCATTAACGTCCTTCAGAAAACGACCGGTGTCCCTCGATTGGCAGCTGCTTCTCGACTGCGCGAAGCGGAACCGCAAAGCCGCGACAGCATCTCGCTCGTCGGTGGAGCTTCCTCGATTTTCAGTCTCGCGCTCGAGTTCGCCCGTGTATTTGCTCGCGTGTTCACACCTGACTTGCTCGCAACTCGATACGCCCGTATTTAATTACGTACGAGTGACACGCATCGCGCCAACGTGTGTGCGTAAAGTGGGCTCATTATTATTGCGCGCTCGGAGAAACGCGCTCGCGCGCGGCTTTTAACCATCGAGCGACGCAACTTCGACGGCGCGTTTAAGACCGGTTTTGCCATTGTGCGAACTTTCCTCCGCCGTCGCTTTGAGAGATTCTACGAAACTTTACCTTACCTAACCACCTGTATATACGTATGCACGGAAGCAGCCCCCCTTCCGCCGCCGCCCTCCCCCCCTCTTCACAGACCTCTTTGCAGCGATTACTCGATAGTTTGTCCTTCGATAACCGGCTGCGGCATAACTCGAGGACAATCGTCGAGCGAGCGAGAGTGCCACGTAATCGCTGTAGTCGGCCGATATTAATCGGCAGCGATTAGCGTTGGTGTCAATTTCTGGCTGGAAACCTCCTGTGCCCGGGCAACGTATCTTTAACGATGCCACAGCTCAACCTGAATAATCACACTGGAAGGATTAATGTACACCCCGATGTACTGCCGGTGATGCGCTCGCGCGTTAAAAATGAAATGTATAAGTTTTGCTCGCCTGTTGTGTCGCGCCTGTTGTGCGATCGAACTCGACCTCGCTCGTCGCTACGCTATCGCACGCACGCATACGCGCGTACTGATACGGCAGCAAGTATTGATTCTGATCTGATTATTAGTTGACTGTTGACTGCTCAACTCCGTGTACAAATCCATAGATGCGAGAGCATGTTGCGCACCGTTCGTCGATATGGAATTCGAATGCTCGCTGCAAAAGTGCTTAATGAGATTGACTCGGCTCCAATTACCTAAAGAGCTTTCCCGATGCGCTGGCATTAAGCTTTATAAATCGAAATTTCTGCTGTTGTGTGAAGTACATGTTGCCGTTTCGTGGAACGCGTTATGCATGTAGTCCCACGCGATTATTATCTCTGTATCGTTCCACGCAGAGTGCCGCATTTATCGAATATTCGTTCTTGACGTTGATCTCTCGCAGTCACGTAATTCAATTGCACGATTGCGTTTACCGAATATTTATTCTCGATTTCGATTTTAATTACAGAGGTATCGTGGCACACCTCGAGCTGCTGTAAGCGGACAGCGTCGTATCTGGTAATTATTACTTTCTTCTTTCAAGATATTTTCTTTCGATGTGCTTCCCCCATATTGAGCAAACGGAGAAATGTGTGAGAGCACGAGCGAATCAACAGCAAGAGCTCTCAATGGGCTCAGATATAAAGTCGCTTTTTGCTCCCTTGAATTTTCAAAAGTAATCTGCTGATCAAAAGTAAATTACTGTTCAGAAATAATATTAAATTTTCAAAGTAATACTCCGGTGCTCCGGTGGTCGAAAACAAATTCATATTATTTATGCGTATAATATCGCGCGTGGCTGCGGTCAATACTGTCGATTGTTAAAGCTGTCGTTTTTTACGATGCAATATAGTATATTTTTCACGAAAATATTATCTATTAAAACGTCAAAAACGAAAGAAACAGCGGCACGAAGGCGCGTAGTAGCGGCGTAGTTTACAAGAATAACACGCAGTTTACCTTCGTGTCACGCTTCTATTGTAAATCGTGCCGCACAAGTTGGGTTACAAAAGTTAGGTCCGAGAAGCGGAAAAAGCTCCTTGAACTTGGCGGTCCCGCGAAAGTTTGCGCGGTGCAGGCTACCGTGGCGTTAATAACCTCATGCATCATCTGCGGGCGAAAAATTCTCCTCTGGCCGCTGACGCAGCAACAAAAGATTGAATGTGGCGGCGGTTTAACGTAGCGTCGGTGTGTATGCGTGCGTGGTGAACAATTGATACGCCGATTGTGAGGATAAACGCCGCGGAAAATGTGCGGCAAAATCCAAAATTACGGAACAAATCGAAATCTCGACGGGGGGACTCGACTGTCGCCAGTCTTAACAATCCTTTCATCGGAATTGTATATTAATTTATCAAATGCGCCGCGTGCACACGCACACATCCGCGCAGTCACGCACACGCGTGCAGGCATACGCGTAGACTGAAAAGTTCGATACACGCATGGTTTATCATTCAATGCTGACTCGCGGTATTTCGATATTATTGTATTCCACATGTCCAACCAGATCCTGCCTGGATTCAGTCTGGTGGACTATTATGAAATTACGAGAAACTGTGTTTCCGACCGGTGCGCGTCAAAGGCAAACTGATGGCGCATTTTGGTATTTTGCCAAAACGAAGGTAAAATGGAAGTGAAAACGAAGAAGCCTAAAAGGGAGATAAAGGGGTGAGAACAACTAAAAAAGAAAAAAAAAATACGCGACAACGCGAGCCGTTGGCATACGTTGGTATAAATGGCAGAATCGAGACCGGCTGCGGTTTTTAAATACAAACATCGTGTTACTTTTTTTTTTTTTTTTTTTTCAGCGAGTTTGAAAGATCGAAAGCACAGATTGCGCTCTCTCGGTCAACAATTGACTTTCTCTGCGACTATTGCACGTTTGCTCGTACCAATGCGCTCAAGTGCGCGATGAGAAACACTCGTTTCGAAAAGCCATCGAAACTAGGTATTCGCGGCCGGTAATGAGGTGCTCGAACGTTAAAAGCTACATCTTCAATTAAAAAGTACACGCGTTCTGCTCTCGACGTCGTTTTCTCGGTCACATCTTACAGGTCACGCGTTTTTCGCGTTGCAGCGTACGCGAGGCGTCAATACGACGGGTTGATTTGATGATATGAGATCGTACACAGCCGACAGCTCTAATACCATCGCGAGGCTATGCCCTCCTTCCTCCCCCCCCCTCCCCGCCGCCGCCTGCCTTTATCCCGTCCGTCTATAATTAAATTCCGACGATCGAACTAACTGAGAGTCACGCGTGATTGCACCGCCCTTTGCCGCGTGGCATTAAGGAATTTTGTTCAACTGCCGAAGACATTCGACCCTAAAATGCTCCTCCTTTGAGGTTTATTATCACGGCGTGAAGAGAATATCCGTGGAATTAGACGTAATAAGGTCAATCATGCGGTTATCGATCACTCGCAGCCCCTCTTGCTTCGATGTCGATTCTTTATTTATCGATAAATGAAATTCCTCCCGTGCACTGCTTCCGTCTTAAACTGTCGTTGTCATTAATTAAAAAGGAAGATGGTTTCTGGCATGAGAGAGAGAGAGAGAGAGAGAGAGAGAGAGAGAGAGAGAGAGAGAGAGAGAGAGAGAGAGAGAGAGAGAGAGAGAGAGAAAGAGAAACGGAGATCTTGGTATAGTCGTATATAAAAATTATTGCCGCCGTGAGAACGTCGTGAAAATAGTCTCTTTTGGCAATTATTTAATTGTCAGCGCAGATAATTGTCGGTGGTGATTTATAACGGCGGACGGTCGTATTTCCACCGACGTCTCGGGACTTACTATTTTCTGAAGCCATAATTTTCCACGCAAGACAGCACGTGCGACAAACGAGCAGCGCATATTCCACTACTCGTAGGTTTCGTAATTTACGAGCTGCGTCCGCCATAAGTCATTTAATTTCGTCTGGCGCATTCTGCGGCAAGATGAAAACGCAACGTCAAAGTTTTCTCCCTAATTAGGAATTTACGCGCGATGCGTTGTCAACGCAATTTTTAACGTATCGGTATTGCGACAGACAATACATTTTGAATAACGTTTTCGTTTTCGAAAATCTCTATTTTCGCTTACAAAATTTCATCATGCGAGGAATTATTCTCCGAGCGAAGAAAGATTCGCTTCGCAAGCATCGCGTTCTTTTCACATATTTCTCGGTTCCGCTAAAAAAAAAAAAGAAAATGACTCGAATGCGCTGTACAAACGCTGTGCGAGGTGCACGTTTTCCTCTCTGCGCTTCCGTGGAAATTTTGCTCGCGCGTGCTCAAAGTATAATCAGAAGAGTGGGAGGGGGTATTAGATGCCAGCCGCAGACTAATTGAATTCTTCTCATTATCTCACACAAAAGATGCACTATTATGTACCGCCCCCCCTCCCCCCCCCCTCCATCGGCTGCTATCGGCGCGCGGATATGTGTATACGTACACAATGGTTAAGTGCGGCCTCAGCTCTCTGTTCTCTCCTCCCCTCCCCCTCCCCCCTACCCGCCCTTGCCCCTGAATACGCTATTACCCACATTACGTCGTTTCCTTCGTTTTTCCGTCTTTCTTCCGGATCGACCGCGTCGTCTCTTAACGCAAATTCATTTTCGCCGGCAACAAGTTCATTATCGTACCTACGAAAATTTCCCACGAAGGGAACTAATTATGAGTGATGGACGAGGTCGAGCCCCGTCGCGAGCGATCACGGCACGTAGTTGGGGAACGTAGTTTAATGCGCGTGTCGCGTCGTGCGTTTCTCTCTCTCTCTCTCTCTCTCTCGCGCAAAGTTTCGTTCGTGAGTCCGATTTTGTTGCGCGATGTTGCAAACACACACAAAGACGCCAAAATCGCGCTTCATCGCCAAAGTCCCGTTTCTCGCGCGAGTCCGTCCGCTTTTAAGGTTGACACCTTTCCATCGCGTTAATTATCAGTAATTACCGCACGCCTTGGTGCGCGCACGAGCGCGCCCCCCAGCGTCCCGGCGCATTTTTCGTCCCGCTTCTTTAAACGCTTTTCATCTTTTCCTCGTTTACTCACGGCATGGCATGGCAGTGCCGCGCGCTCGCATCTGCGCGCGCGTGTATTTTTCTCGCGCGGCAGTTTCTCATTTAAATTGCAAACATAATTATTCATGACGACGCTGCGCTAATCATGCGTTGGTAAGCTCGAGCGAGCCACGGCGTGCAATTGCTGGGAGGGGGAGGAAAGCTCGGCTGTGGATAAGATACGAGGCTGACGTTACACGATAACCGCTCTCGCTGCTCATCTAGCCGTTTTCCGGTTTCTCCGTCCCTTCTCCCAACGCCCCGCGTCCATCTCTCTCCCTCAACCAGCGAATTCGTTAATGCATCGCGTCGGCACGGAACGGGCGGAGGGAGGGGGATACGACAAATAGTATTTCCCGCCGCCGCCGAGCCGCGCCGAATGAAACCGCCTGCATAATTCACACACGCCGGGCGCAATATTTTCGTCTCGGGCGGCTCGCGCGCTGTGAATTCGACGGTGTTCCCCTGCTTTCTTCCTTGGCGATACCGGAGGTATTCCTCGATCGACGAGGTTTCATAATAGATGACACGTATCAGCGAGACGTTTAAAAGGGCCTCGATAATAGTTTCCAAACAGGCGAACGATCGATCATTCAGAGTATAGCATTTCAGTCGGAATATACCGTTTTGGCGGGTTCAGAGTCATACATCAGAGTCATGCGCTCTGTATCGTATCGTATCGTATCGTCGATCCCACGGCCGGATATTTATTTAGCATGAAAATGGCGTCGGATTTCGCGAAACGTTTCAAAATGATATGTCATGAATAGCTGATCGCAACTCCGATGCGAATGGCACATCGACATGCATATTAATAACTTCATGTTTTCATAAAATCTTGACTCGGCCGATAATGTTTAACGAGAAACGATCGCTCGTCTGGTAGAAATTAAGGGTGAAAACACGCATTAGAGGGGGTCTGTAATTATCGCAAAAATTATCCTCTCTCTCTCTCTCTCTCTCTCTCTCGTGTCGTCTCGTCTCGTATATCCCGCGTTTCCCTCGGTCCTTTTTTAACGAGCGGCAAGGAACGCGCCATCGAAGAGCGATCTCATCTTTCGGCCGTATTTTATGCAGCGAGCGAGAAACATCGGCCGGTTTGATTATGCGTGTGAGTTCACGGCGCGTCATCAAGATCGTGAGCTCGACGAGAGAGGAAGAGGGACAGGCTAAAGCAAAGATAGCGGAAAATGAAAGAGGAACGAAGCGAGGGATTTAATACGGCGACTCGGCCGGCTTCATACGCCGCGCAACGTGCAATTTTACTTAAGCAACTCGACGCGCGCTCCCTCGTTTTGCTGTCCGTCCGCTTGATTATCGTTATCTTGGCCGACGAGCGGTCACTTCCGGTCGCGCGCATAACACGCCGATGGAGCGCGGGAGATCGGCACCGCCGATCGCCGTCGAGCGCGCGTTGGACGCGCGGTAATTTGGCATGTATGTATGCAACGATTTTTGGGAATCGCGCGTTACGCTGGTGTGCCGATGCATC